CTGAGCTGTCAGCACAGAGCCCGACACGGGGCTCGAACTCACGGACCTTGAGATCATGACCTGAGCTGAAGTCAGACGCTTAACTGACTGAGCCACCCAGGTGCCCCCGGGAACAACATTTTTTATAAAAACAACACTAATAATACTATAAGTCAAAAATATGGCCTTCCCATGTTAGTATTAATTTTCAGATAACAGATATTTTAAGGGAATCAATGATCATCCCATCTCTTTTTCTGTATATGCCTGGGCAATGGCCTACTTATGTGATTATGCCCATTTAATGACAAACAGGGCTTTCTCCAGGCTGTTTAACTGTAGCAAGGCAATTTATGAGGATGGCGAAGTTCATGGCCACGTACAGTATCGAAATATTGGGCAATTCCGTCTTGTGAACTGTCCGGAAAAGGGGAATCCATAGAGACAGAAAGTAGATTGATCGGTGGTTGCGAGGGTGAGGAGACCGAAGAGAAAGGGAATGTTAACGAGTTTGGGGTTTCTTTTCAGGGTGATGAAAATGTTCAAACGTTGATCGTGGTGGTGGTTGCACAGCTCTGTGAACGTGCTAAAAAACATCACTAAATTGCACATTTTATTTTTTTATTTAAAAAAGTTTTTAGGTTTATTTCTTTATTTAGAGAAGTAGCACAAACGGGGAAGGGGCAGGGAGAGGGAATCCCAAGGAGGCTCCGCATCAGCAGCGCAGGGCCCGACACGGGGCTCGAACTCACGAACCATGAGATCATGACCCGAGCCGAAGCCAGACGCTTAACTGTGCCACTGAAGTGCCCCAAATCATACATTTTAGATGGGTAAATTGTATGGGATGTGGATTGTATCTCAACAAAGCTGTTATGAAAAAGGCTGATAGGGCACCCGCGTGGCTCAGTTGGTGGTTGGGAGTCCGACTTCGGCTCAAGTCACGATCTTACAGTTCGTGGGCTCCAGCCCCAAGTCGGGCTCTGTGCTGACGGCTCAGAGCCTGGAGCCTGCTTCAGATTCGGTGTCTTCCTCTCTCTTTGCCCCTACCCCACTCGCATTCCGTCTCTCTTTCTCTCAAAAATAAATAAACATTAAAAAAAAATTTTAAAAGGCTGAGAAATATGAAGAAGGTCTTATAAAATGGATGGGTCCGGAGGGCATGATGCTCAGTGAAATAAGTCAGAGAAAGACAAATGCCACCTGACTTCAGTTATATGTGGAATCTCAAAACCAAAACAAATGAATAAACAAAAAGCAGAACCAGACCCATAAATACAGAGAAGGAACAGATCGTTGCCAGGGGAGAGTGGGGTGGGGACGTAGGCAGAATGGGCAAAGGGGTGTGGGAGATACGGGCTTCAGTTCGGAATGAGTAAGTCGCGGGGATGAAAGGTATGGCCTGGGGAATACGGTCACTGGTAGTGTAATAGCGCTGCATGGTGACAGGCGGCGGCCACCCTTGTGGCGAGCACAGCGTAACGTATAGAGCTGTCGAATCACTGTGTGGTACACTTGAAATTAATGTAAGGTGTCAACCACTTGGAGGGAGGGAAGGAAGGAAGGAAGAAATACAAAGAAGGTCTTGTCTACGGTGAGAAAGAAATTCTCCGCTATGGCTCTATAACTCTAATCTTTGACCACCTCAGGGCTTTTTCTGCGTTTCTACCTAACGTAGACAGTAGCTTCTCAATCCTCTGTTAAGAAAGCTCTTCGTAGGTAAGCTTGAACTCTCTAGCTACTCTTCCTCAGAGTATAACCGTCTGCATGATTTCAAGGGATTCTTTACCATGTTTCCGTTGGCCTCATAGCACTGGAGGCATTCCCTCCCGTCTTGAACACTTTTCAACTTTTACAATTCCTTTCCATACCCTTTCTGTGAAACAGAGAGGATTTATCAATCCTGTGGTGACCCCAGCCGTATTCTAATTAGCTCAGCTTCGGCTAGTTTGCCTGGCTTCCCGATCTGGATGTTCCCTTTCAGGAAAATCAGAAACTCTAGAGAGCTGAAATGTCATCTTTTTTGACTTAGGAGTACAACAGTTAGTGTTCGAACCCGCTGACTAGCTGACAGCTACCTTTCCTGCCCCTGGGCGAGGTCTTTTACTGTTTGCATCTGTACTGCATGAGAGCTCGCCGTCCGGGCTGCCAGGTGCTGGGGAGAGCAAAGCAAGCCTCCGCCCTCAAGGAGCTGCTGTCTACCTGGGGATACCGGTGAATGCGAAAGAAAGGATTCTCCTCTGTAACCCTACCCCTGCTCAGCCATTCATTAACTCTGGGAAGAGATGAGATCCGGAAATAGAGAAAATAAGAGTCACCTTTGGGCTCTTGGGTTCCAACAGCCTCACGGCCGGGAGGGATAAGTGGAACTCCTATGTGCAAATAGCATAGACTTTGGAGAACAGGAGATCAGTTTCAACAGTGTGTTGTCACCCTCTCTCAGCCATTCCCCAGTCTCCTGTCCCAGGAGGGGCAGTTGCCAGAGGGGCAGTTACACAAGCAGATACATTTTGGGTTTTGTAACCCTTCCCCCAGAAAAGCCGGAGGCAAGAGAGGACAGAGAGAAGCTGCGACAGACACCAACGGTTGTCCTGAACCCTGATGCTGTTCAGGTATTGGGTGACAATGTGTTGAGCTCCAGGGAGTGAATCGTCATTGTTCTAATCCAGCCATGGTGATCCCGCCCTTTGCCAGCGGGTGGTTTAGGGGTGCCATGTGACCCAGTTCTGCCCAATGAGTTATTAAGGAGAAGAGTTCTGGAAAGAGTCTTCCTCCTTGAAAGAAAGCAAAGGACCACTCCTCCCTGCTTTGGATGTGGTCATGAGACAATGTGATACTTAGTGCCAAGCAAATATTTTATGACTAAGAGCAGGAAGCCAAGAGAAGGGCAAAGAAGTAGCCTGTCTGCTTCCAACCTTCTTGTCACGTGAGATGATTCAATCCATATTTTTAAACCACTTGACTTGCAGCCAAAAGCTTTCTAATTAATACGGACCTGACCTAGGTATCCCAGAAGAGGTTGTGTCTCGCCTCCTGGGTGGAATCCTGTGGCAGGAGTAAGACCCTAGAAAAATCATGGCCCCTCGGTCTGTGGCAAATGGGTCTCGGACAGCCAGGCATGGGCACAAAAGCATGTTCCCCATGTGTCTGAGGGTGGCAGAGGTGGACAGGGTCTTAGGAAGCCCCACAGATGTTCCTATGGAGTCCCTCAAAAAATAACTACTGGGGAGCCTGGGTGGGGGTGGGGGGCTCAGTCGGTTAAGCATCCGAGTCTTGATTTCAGCTCAGGTTATGATCTCATGGTTTGTGCATTCGAGCCCCAAGTTGGGCTCCGTGCTGGCAGCACAGAGTCAGCTTGGGATTCTCTCTCTCCCTCTCTCTCTCTGCCCCTACCCTGCTTGTGCTCGCTCGCTCTCTCTCTCTCTCTCTCTCTCAAAATAAATAAACTTTAAAGATAAGTATTAAAAAAACCACATTGCACAAATCTGTCTTCATTTCTTTTTGAAATCAATTATTTATTTATTTATTTACTTATTTATTTTGAGAGAGAGTGCACACGCACGTGTGGGGGAGTGGGGAAGGGGCAGAGGGAGAAGGAAAGAGATAATCTCCAGCAGGCTGCACGCCCATCACAGAGCCCGATGCAGGGATAGATCTCACGATGGTAAGATCGTGACCTGGGCCGAAATCAAGAGTCTGGCGCCTCACCAACTGAGCCACCCGGGCCCCCCTGTCTACGTTTCAGCAGAGCCCAGTGAATACTTTGTCGGGGGGCTGGCACTGCTTCTGAGGACCAGCGTTTGGGAACAGCACGTGGACACCACACCCCAGTGATCCATTTCCAGCTCATTGTGGCAGAGACTGTTGGTTGTCTCCCAATATCCAATGTCCCTTCTTCCATAGTCATAGGAACTGTGATTGTTAGCTGGACCTATGGAGACACCATGTTTCCTAGCCTCCCTTGCAGTTAGATGTGGCTGTGTGTCTGTGTCCTGGGTAATGAGGTGTGAACGGAAGTGTCCCGTGGCTGCTGTCAGGCACCTCCTTCAAAAGACAGCAGGCACATACCGTGGTGCAGTTGTCTTCTTCACCCCTTGCCTCTTCTGCTGCCCAGAACGCCCATGTGGTGGCTAGAGTCCCAATCATCTCACGCCATAGATGGAAGGTCGCACCCTGGGGGTGGGGGAGCAGTGAGAGGAAGGGAGCCTGGACCCTTGAGGACTGCAGGAAGCACAACAGCCACACCAGCTCTGGACTGCCCTGCCCTAACTTTTACACGAGGAAGCAAAGTTCTGTCTTCTTGAACTACTGTGATTTACAGTCTTGCTTTACCGACAGCGGCACCTAATCCTCTTTGACACATGTAGCCCCCAGCCATGCTGTGAGAAAGCCCCGGGGTCAGGCCAGTCAGGATCTGGGCTATTCAAGATGGAGGACGGCCATGGCAGTTTCCTCCCATTATTGACTCACATCCTCTGCCCACTGTAGTCGCATTTATAATAACTCACTTTGTCTGACGTTTCTGCTTCCCTGCATGTATCATTTTTCTTTCTGTTTTCTGTTGCGAGCGCTTCATGAGATGTTTCAAGCTTTTAAAAAAAAAAAAAAAAAATGTGCGGTAGAAATAGAAGTTGTTACCGAACAGATACAAGTGGCAGAGAATCTCATTATAACCAAGCATGAAGTGAAAAGCAAAGGGGTATAAGAATCAAGTTTCTAAAAAGAGCCCATAAAAGGCACTACTGTTCTGTCTGTGGCTCCTTCCGCTTTCTCTGGGGTAAATGGCATTCCCTGTGCAATGGAGACATGCACATCTGTTATTTCTGTTCTAGAATATAGTGTGTCTCTTCAGGTCACAAAAGTCCATTGTTGCCCAAGTTATGAGGAGAAGAGTATGAATCTATCATGAGCATTTTCCAGTACACAGCACTTTCCTGTCATCTTTCCAGTAAAACAGTTCTGGGTACTAGCTGGGAAAGCAAATTTCTGGTACAACATTCTGTCCTCTGTTCTTAGACCCGTTCCATATAAGGAAACAAATATACTGACCACAAATTGGGCATTGTTTGAGATTTTCACAGTAACGTGTTAGATTATGTTACGAACCTGAGTAAGACAGTCCATAGAAATAATAATCATCTGTGGGGTTTAAGAGCCTAATAAATTGCAACCCTCCTTCTACCCAAGTTTAAGACCAACTGAAAAATAAATTCAAGAGTCCAACAAGTGGAGATAGAAATAATCAGCATTGTTGATGACCGAAGAATGTGGCCTTAAATCCAGGGGCCAACAGACTTTCCAATACATTCTCGCCGACTTGAACCTAAGTGTGGGCTCTGCTATTTCTGGGGCAGTGCCCATGCCATAAGCTTCTCTCATAATGGAGAGCAAAACAGAGTGGACCCTTTATGTGGGCAGACAAATCTGGAAGAGAACTCAAGAAACCGTGAGCCAAGCATGCTCACCTCCTTCTTCCAAATTCACCAATTAGATGGGCCATTCCTTCTCGGAGGAGGGATGGTTAGTGGGGTGGGGGCGTGGGCAGAAGCTGGACTCGGACACGTCCTTTTCCCACTTGTAGCAGACCCAGTTCTTGCCCCATCTCTACCCGCCAGGACTTCCCACTTAAGGCTGACTTCCGACTGTCTGTATTAACATCTCTTTTCCCAAGGGCTTTCTCCAAACTACAGAATCAGCAGTGCACAACCAGTGACTGATGGGGGTTGATTAATTCCCAGCTCCCTTGCCTATATCACATAGATGACTGAGGTGCCTGTTCTATGCCGCTTCCCAGAACTTTCTGGTAGGATGCAGCCTCAGTCACCCACAGTGATGCCCTGCTCAATCACACACTGTTGGCTGCCTTTCTTCCCCATCTCACCTCTACCATGTCCCCAGTGCTTTCAGGAGTCACCACCCAAGTAAACTGCTTTTGTCATCTGGTTATCTCGAGATCGTCTAGAGCGGGGGTCAGCAAACTTTTTCTCTAAAGAGCCAGATAGTGAATCTTTTAGGCGTTGCAACTATTCAGCTCCAACATGGCAGCACGAGAGGCAGACAGGCACAAAGACAACACATGACAAAAACGGGTGTGGCTGTGTGCCAGTAAAGCCTTTTATTTACAGAACCAGGCGGTGGGCTGGGTTTGGTTGGTGGGCCAGGTCAGAGTTTGCTGACGCCTGATCTAGGGCCATCGAGCTCCACCATCCTCTGTGTTAGTTCCCCACAGCTGTGGCACACATTGCCACAAACTAACTTAGCAGTTTAAACACAAATTTCTTATCTCACAATTCCACGGAGGGCACAACTCTGGAATTACCTTGTGTCAGAGGGAAGAAAAACCTCTATCTCTTTTAAGCCGTTTTTTGGGGATTTGCTTTATATACAACTTCGTAACTGATGGAGAGGGACTCGATAACTTTTCCTGGGTCACCTTGTAGCTATAGATTGGGAATGCAAACCGAGCTCTCTCAGGCTACAGTGGGCTTGGGGCCAATCATCCGTGTCTGTGGATTGGAAAGTGGGAATGTCTCTTTAATTGGGAGACGAAAATGTCCTTTGATCTCATGGACTTAAATCAGGCCTTTATTTCATACATTCTCTTTTGATTCCAGCTTCCTGCCTCTGGAAAGGTCTTTTTGTTATTGCTAACAAAGATAATATGAATGAGGAGTAAACTACCTTCCATAGTTGAAGTCATTTCAGTAGAGATGAATGTCATTAGAGACTTTTTTTTTTCATATTTTTGAAAGGTTATTTGTTTGAGAGAGAGAGAGCGGGAGACAGAATCCCAAGCAGGCTCTGCACTGTCAGCACAGAGCCTGATGTGGGGCTCAAACCCACGGAATCGCAAGATCATGACCTGAGCCGAAGTCAGATGCTTAAGTGACTGAGCCACCCAGGCGCCCTGAACCTCATTCCTTAGAATTAAGACAATTTTTAGAGTGAAATTTAGCTTGTGTGTGTGTGTGTGTGTGTGTTTTACTGTTATAATACATGTGACACATGCACAATGCAAGAAATGAGAACCAGAAAGGAGCTACAAAATGAGAGGCACAGTTTTGTCTCCCCAACATAGACCTAACTCCCACTACCTGCTACATTATAGATCTTTCCAGAACCCTTTTTATACATATACAATAATATATACGCATGTCCACTCTATCACAAATAGAAATATACTACATGTGTTGTTTGCATTTACTGAATCTTGTATCACATAATCACATATAAGATCCCAAGTAATTTATTAAATGGCTGTAGAATATTTCCATTGTATGGATGCAGAATGGTTTATTTAACTGGTGTTTCCTTATGATTGGACAGTCGGGGTTTTATTTTTTAATGCAAATAATTCTACAGTGTATATCCTTGATCTTTTTTCCTTGTCTCCATAGTACAAGTTCCTAGATGTGGACCTGCTGGGTCAGAGAGCATTGTCCAGCTTTAATTTTCAGAGATATTGCCAAAGTGCTCTGCAAAGAGATCGCCCGAAACTGCCCTCTCCCAGCGGTAAGTGAGAATGCGTATGTCTCTTCTTTGCCAGTGTAGCTGTTAACAAATTGGTGGATCGTTGCCGATCTGATAATGAAAAAAAATGTATTTTCTTGATATTTTAATCTGCATGTTTAAAAGTATAAGTGAAAGTAAGCCTTTTGTCACTATTTATTGGCCACTGGGATTTCTTGTTCTGAGAACTGCTTATTCATGTCTTGTCCCATTTTTCTGTGAGGTTCTTCATCTTTTTCTTACTGATTTAGTAAGAGCTTTTTGCAACTTTCGGAAATTAGTCATAAGTCATATATCTTGAAAAGTTCTTACTAGTACGTGTTGTCTTTTAACTCTGTCTGTGGCAGTTTTCCCTACAAGAGCTTCTTTGTTTTTTTGTGAAATTTATTAATCTTTTCCTACATCTCTTCTTAGTCTTGTGTCCTGCATAGAAAGCTTGTCCCCATGATTACAAATTAGTCCCCCCAAATTTTAGTGTTGGATTTTTTTTCCAGATACAGTAAAACCTTGGTTTGCGAGCATAATTCATTCCGGAAACATGCTTGTAATCCAAAGCACTTGCGTATCAAAGCGAATTTCGAGAACCATTGGCTCAGTTGTGATCATGTAATGTTTGGCATCACCTACTACTCGTATTGTAAGACATCGCTCGCTTATCAAGTTAAAATTTATCAGCAATGTCTGCTGGTCTTGCGGAACACTCACAGAACAAGTTGCTCACAACCCAGGGTTTTACTGTGTATCTTTGGTTCCCTGGTGTAAGAGGAGACATAGAGTTTTCATCTTGTTTTCTCCAAGTGACTAGACCAGTATTCCAAACCCGTTTATTGAATAATCCATCTTTTCTTGTCTTGATTTCTTACGTGACTGTCATTGTGTTTCCAGTTCTCATATGGATTTGGGTCTATTTCCAAACCCCATTCTCTTCTTCTGCTCAAGTTATTCTTGGTCCAGAAACCCAACTGTTTTAATTAGTTTTGCTTTATAACCTATTTTACTATGTAGTAAAGCTAATCACCACCCCTTACCTGTTAATCATTCCCCCCCCCCCCCCAGGGTTCCGGCTATTCCACATGCTTATTTAAACCAATCAGTGTTGACTGGGCAACTCCTAAGTACCAGGCCGTGGTCTAAGCACTGGGGATACAGCAGTGACCAGAACAGGGAAAATGTCTGCCCACACGGTGCTTACGTTCTAGCTGCATGAGAAAGACAAATCAGTCAAATACCTACAGTGTCAAAGGGTGATAAGTGAGATGGAGAGAGACAAAATAGGGAAGGAAGATAGGAAGTGGGGAAAGTACGAAACCAGGGGATCAAGACAGGCTTCATTGAGAACATGGCGGTTGAGGTGAGGAAACAAAGTGCGCGGACAAGCAGAAGCACTGTGCAAAGGCCCTGAGACCAGAGGCCAGTGTGCCTGGAGCAAAGCGCATGAGAGAGAGAAGGAAATGAGGTCAGAGAAGTAACAGGGAGTAATCCAAGAGGGCCTTGTGGGAAAATGAAGATTTGGGCTGTTTCTCTGAGCAAGATGGGGAGCCATTGGTGAATGCAGAGCAAAGGTGTGTCATAAGTGGACTTAAAGTTCCAAAAACTGATACTATGGATATTTTGGTTGGAATGATGTTGAAATCTCACATTAATTTACAGAGGATATGTGTGTGTGTATGTATATATATATATATATACACATATACATATATATATATATATATATATATATACACACACTATGGATATTTTGGTTGGAATGACGTTGAAATCTCACATTAATTTACAGAGGATATGTGTGTGTGTATGTGTATATATATACACATATATACATGTGTATATATATACACATATTATAAGTCATGTATATAAAGTAATATATATTAAGTAAAATATATATATTTTTTAAGTATCTCTATACCCAGTGTAGAGCTCTAACAACTCCAAGATCAAGAGTCGTATGCTCTACCGACTGAGCCAGCCAGGCACCCCAGAGGTTGACATCTTGAAAATCCTGTGTCCTCATACCCAAAAATAAGATATGCAGCAATATTATAAATGCACAAAGTGACAAATTGAATTACCTCTAGGAATGTATTCTACAGATACAGTTGTATATGTGCAAAATGACTTATATATACAGGTATTGTCTATGATACCAAAAGATTGGAAACAATGCCAACATCCAGACATCTACCGGTATAGGACTGGCTAAGTAATTTTGACACGTGCATGGGGCACCTAGTTGTCTCAGTTGGTCAAGCATGTGACTCTTGATCTTGGGTTGTAAGTTGGAATCCCACGTTGGGTGTAGAATTTACTTAAAAATAAAATCTTTAGGGGAGCCTGGCTGGCTCAGTCGGTTAAGCATCCGACTTCAGCTCAGGTCATGATCTCATGGTTCATGGGTTTGAGTCTCGAATTGGGCTGTGTGCTGATGGCTCAGAGCCTAGAACCTGCTTCGGATTCTGTGTCTCCCTCTCTCTCTGCCTCTCCCCTGCTCGCTCACTCTCTCTCTCTCTCTCTCTCTCTCTCTCTCAAAAATAAATAAACATTATTTAAAAATGTTAATAAAATATTTAAAAATAAATAACAAATTTTGGACACATACACTCAATGGAATGACATGCCACTACAAAACCGTAAGGAGAATCTTTATGTACTGATTCAGAATGATCGCCTAGATGAACTAATAAAAGCAAGGTAGAGAGAATAGTGTGTGGAGTATGCTGATTTGGGGGTAAAAAAGGGAACTATATATTATGTATGAATTTACTTTGGTAGCGATACAATATGTTTGTAAGAATACATAAGACACTGCTAACAATAGTTACCACTAGCGAGGGGCACCGGGGAACTGGAAGACAGGGACATTTTTCACTGTATACCTTTTTCTATCTTTGGACTATTGAACCATGTGCATATAGTATCCTTCCAAAAAGAATATAAATATACATCTCAATGAAATTGAGTATGTCTTTACGTTAGGGCCATTTTGGAAATGTATTTGGCAAGGACTCAAACAGAATTAGTAGAGACCTAAGTCATATGCAGTGACCTATATGATGTACCTTTACACGGCCAGTTGTAATAAATACACAAGTAGACAAATGTAGGGCTATATAGACAATGTGCTCATTTCTCTGCCAAAAAAATATATATTCTGGGAGAGGAAAACAGGCACAAAAGGCGATTTCCACGTTTTCACAGCGCAGATGAGCTGGGAGAGCTCAGTCTCTTGGCCTGCCAATTACACATTGAAGCCTGTGCTGAATAAGTGGGCTGCGTCGTGTATTAAAAGATGATGTGTCCTACAGGTAAAAGAAAAATGAATCCGGTAAGAGGGATCAGGAGCGTAGGATGGATACCTAGGAGGAGAGTGGGGTATATAGATCTGAATTGGATGCTTAGGAAGGCTCCCTGAGAAGGTAACATCTGGGGAAGATGTGCAGAAGGGGAGGGGGCAGCCATCCTGGTGTTTGAGAGAACACCTTTGAGAGGGAACGTTCCCAAGGCAGGTGTTTTCCTGGTCTGTGGAAGGGACAGCAAGGAAGCCAGTGTGGCCGGCGTAGATGGAGGTGGGGGGCACAGGCGGTGGGGAGGAGGGAGTGGATGCCACAGGGCTTTGTCAGCTCTGCTGAAGACACTGCCTTAACGAGATGGGAAACCACTAGAGGATACTGAGTGAAAGAGTGAAATGGGTCCTTCCATGTTAAGAGCATACCTCTGGTTGCCGTGCAGAGCACCAGCTGGAGGGAGTCAAGGGTAGAAGCAGGGAGGCCAGCGCCAGGATGGTTGTGTTATTCCTCACTTCACTCCCTGGAGCATATTCTCAGAGCTGTTCAAAGTAGATGCCTGTGTAGATGCTACATTCAACACAGAAGCACGGTCCTTCAAAGCTCGTTTTTTTCCCCGTCATAAGAATAGCACACACTCACAGCAGAAAACTTGAGACAAACAGAAAAACATGCGTGAGAAAGGAAATTTACCAATATGGTGCCTCCCAGACACAACTACTGTTGACATTTTGGTGTGTTTCTCTCTCATCTATGGGGCTTCGCGTAGCTGGGTTCATAACATGCAAACACACATTCCACTTGATCTCATAACTAGTAAAATGAGCGTTTTACCACTAAAAGATTTATCCTAATGAAAGCATGATATTCTTTTTTATGACTGTATAAAATTTAACTCAACCCACCCACTAAATAAGGCATCGAGAAAGACCTGTACGCACAAATTTTGGTCTGCAGTTTAGATTTGCTTTCCCTGGGACAGATTCCAGAGGTGGAACTAACAGGTCAAACAGAGGATGTGTTTTAGGGTTTTGATACTCATTGTCATATTATTTCCCCAAAAGGTTGTACCTGTATAAATTCCCATAAGTTTATTGAAGTCATAAACCACCTTTAAGAAAAAAATATCCTGGAATACTACGTGGCAATGAGAAAAAATGAAATATGGCCTTTTGTAGCAACGTGGATGGAACTGGAGAGTGTGATGCTAAGTGAAATAAGCCATACAGAGAAAGACAGATACCATATGGTTTCACTCTTATGTGGATC